TTATTAATAAGTATTTCGTGCGCACGTTATACTTATTGCGTGGCCGCGAAATACTACTTCGTGGCCACAATTAAAAATTTTTTTTGACCATGTCATCAGAGGGGCTCCGTAAAAATGGACTGCGTTACTGGATGGTAACTTGTGGGACTGGCAGTAACCAACAAAACAGGGAGAAATGAGTCCAACTTCAGTGGGCAGAAAAAATCGCTGCTTTTTGGGAGAGATGAGATTTCCACATGATGCACTCTGCTGATTCTGTGGGAATTAATCTTTAAAGTCATACGGAAATCATGTTTAAATGTCAAATCATTCTGGCTTAAACATGTATATAAATGTACTCTTTATCAGATGATATTGTCCCAAAAGTTAGAACATTTCTATTTTTAAAAAATTCTTTCTTAAAATCTGTTTTTTTCTTCTTTATTTTATGCAGGCCAGTTAGTTATTCATCAGCCTGAACACCTAAATTCGGCCAATCAAATATCAACGGTAATCTGTCAATCAAATTTTTTCGGTCATATCATCTTCATTCATATGTCGCAGCCAGTGATGGGAGTAACGGCGTTGAAAGTAACGGCGTTACTATCGGCGCTACCTTTTTTAGTAACAAGTAATCAAAATTATTACTCTTACTGTAACTATAATGCAGTTACAATTGTTGACACCCCGTTACTGCACGTTACTCAGGTCGCACAATTAACCTTTTCTCATGATATTTCCAATCAGGAGGTAACCTGAACTTCAGGCTCCTCTTTTAAAATATTAAATCAGTTAAACTGGTCACAGCAGTTAAACGTCATAGAGCTTTGCTGCCACCTGCTGGAAAGCATCAGAATTGCATAATGTTACAAGTAATTGCAGGCAAATGAATGGAGCAAAACAGTTAGAGGGCAAAATGGTGACAACAAAGGTTGAACTTGTTTATCTCAGAGGGTTTAAGGACTCAACTTTTAACTATGATCTTAACTGAAGAACTTGTGTTTGCAGATATTTTCCCCTCAGATTAGACACTCAAATTTTTGTAGTTTAGTTTAAACAGTAGAACAGGTGTCTGAAAAGTTGGATTTGTGAAACGCATTTTTCAGATGACAGTTTTATAAAGTAAATGTTTTTTTTTTTTTAATGACAAATTGGATTTAGAAAAGTTTTCCTTTTTTCTTTCAAAATGTGTGGTTTGGTAATAATTTAAGTTTAAAAATGTTATTTTATACCAGAATGCACACATGACTCTGGCAATTTTAAATCAGATTTTACTCAGCTACTATTGCACTGTTATGTATCCCCCTAAAAACATATTTAGATCTACAGTTGATTTGTGCCCTAATGAAAATATTAAGTTTTATTTTAAAGGATCATTTCTCACTACATGAAGCTGATATATTGAATTGCTGATGGTAACCTCCCCCAGTTTATAAAAAGTGGTTTAACCCTTCAACTCAGCAGCCAATAGAAAAAACAAAACTAAACCCACCAGCTCAAACTGGACAAATGGCTGAATGGTTCATAATCAAATGAAATCAACACATGGTTGCTGTTTTCCTCTCAACTTTACGTGTAACAAATTTAAAGGTGAGGACGCCGACAACAAGCAGCTCATAGGAGCGTTTATTCTGTGTAGACTTCTGATGCCATAGTAATGTTAGATCTAAATGGGAAAAGTGAAACCAGTAAGATAATGCACAGGATCCAGTCACTCAGCTGCAACAGTAAAACAGGATTTTAAAAAAATTACTGTTAATTTTTGTTTTAAGTCTCCATTTAGAAACAGGATATGAAAAAATATCTTCAATTTGCAGTTTTTCATATTAAATATAAACATTTTACAGATCCTCATTACCGTTTTAATTCTAAGAACCACTTTCAGAAGCTCTCCTGGTCCTCCGTACTAAAGTGAACTAATCTTTTAGAAACGTCTGACTGGGAGTCCGTGACCTACAGCACCGCCCACCTCCCAGTTTACCTCTACTATAGAGCTACGCTTCAGATGTAGCATCAGAAACCTTTAGACACAGAAGGTCAAAAGACTTCGAGTTACGAGTGAATTAAAAATAACCTTGTGTTTTGTCCAGAGAGGTGGATCTTAAGAGTCTGGGGTTAATTTGATGCAGGACCTGGTTTTAATTCAGGGTTTTCAAATGATCAGTGTTTTTTTATGCATTTACCAGTTTGCAGGTGTTCTAATAAACTCATGTTAAACTTTCCAGCAAGAAACAACCTCATGTCTAATCTGGGATGTTTACATTATAAACCATCAGGTTATAAATCACTAATAACCATTAAGAGATAAACAAACCTAAGACCTGTACGGAGGGAAGTTTATACCAATATTACAAGCAAAACGTTTTGTAAACGTGTGCCTAAGAGCTTGGCAAAATTTATTAAATCTGCTTGCCAAAAATTAAATGATAAAAATCTGAAAAAATATGTTTTCCTAAAAGTTTCGGAAAAAAAATGTATAACTGAGAAGAGCGCCAAATTAGTCTTACAACTTGTTTTTGATTCAAAGTTGTTGCAAAGTTTGATTTCTGGTTTACATTTCCTTCAAATTTCCATTTAGGAAACTTCTTTGCTCAAAATAATAATGGAGCAAATAAGGAAATTCATCTGTTAAACAAACAAAAAATGTATATAATAAAAAAAAACATCAAAGGAGACCATGTGTGAATCCCCAAATTTATTTCAAAACATCAGAACAGGAGCTGCAGTCCACTGAGTGAAGCTGGTGGCATCGGATGCTCCACAGCCATGGAGTGGATCCTCAGCTTCATCTTCCACTGGAAGAAAAAACAAAACAGAAGTCAGTCAGTCAGTAAACACACAAAATAATATTCAACACCCAGATGTTTATTTTACATCATCCTCAAATTTTTCCATGTGTTTTAGAAAGAACATCTTTTGTGATTCTATCTGGATCCAGGATGTCCTTGTGTCAGAGGTGGGCCTGAACTCTGGGACGGAGGAGTTTGGCCTCACCTATCGCAGCCTCCTGGCTTCTCTTTCAGACTCCAGAAGTGTGAGCACGTCTCCTTCTCTGACTGGACCCTTCACGTTCCTGATGATGGAGCGGTTGCTGTCATCCATGAACTCGACTCGGACCTGGAGGAAAACAAATCAAATCAATTCTCACCTACAGTTTAAAACAAATTTTTTCTTTCCCGTTTGAAACAAAACCTTGCCGACAACAGGCGGCAGTTAATTATGCAACACTCCAGTGGTGGATAATATATTATTAAAAATGAGGTTAACTCCATTTAAACATCTCATCCACCAAATGTTTAAAGTTTGTTTTTAAAATCTCTACATTATGCATTTTATAGTTTGTTACTGGAAAAGAACACCAACTTATATAATCAAGAAGGTAAGAAATGCTTGATGCGACACAACTGATATAATTAATCTAATTTTCCACATTCAAAAGGGATATAAGTGGAAAAAAGGTTTCAAACAGACCATATCTACAGATGGGAAGCAAAAAAATTGTTTTTTAAACTATCTTAATTGATAATCGAACCATTAGACTAATTGTACAGACTAAAACAGGCAGGTTAGATTAGCTTTGTTGATCTAATAGTGGAGAAATTCACTGATCACATATTGGCATAGTAAATAAAGGTGCAAACAAGGAGGAAAAAGGTGCATTAAGAATAAACAATATATATACACAGTAGATCAAGATAAATAAGGATTAAGGTGCAAGTGTACATGTATTACACAGGTTAGCAGTCTTTTACTGAACTGCATTAATCAGAATCTGCTGTCCTGAAGCAGAAAAACCCTAAAATCTGCAGGTTAGCGACCGAGCGCCGACTTTGGACACAACCGGGCTGGAACACACTCAGCACGATTTCACAGGGCTAGTGTAAATGGGGCTTGTGAGATTAAATGTTTAGCCACATTTCCCCCTTTGCAGAAGTATGGTTATTATTTGATGATTATAATAAAAAATCTAGCTGGCGTTCATTAAACCTCTTCATAAAGTAACTAATAAACATAAAATCAGGTCTGCATGAGATTAAGAAAACATGTAACCCCACCACAAAGCTCAGATCGTCCGATCTAAATATAGGACCTAGAAACTGAGCGATGCCTTCTTTAAAATATATTTTTTTATGTCCAATGCCGATTATTTCTGATATTCAGAGCCCATAGTCGCTTCTCTTCCTCCATTTACATGATTAAAACTGTCAAAACCATTAACACAAGTGTCAATTTAAGCTAAAAAAAAATGTAATAAACCAAGTAAAACATTAAAGAATGATGGCAGATGGAGGAAGTGCTTCCACTGCATGTCTAAAAAAAGCTAATAACCAAAAAGGGGACCGATCTACCTCCCATAGGATCGACGGCGACAGTTTTACCTGATAAGGACATTAAAGTGCAACAGAGCACACTAATAAGAAAAAAAAGAAAAATTTCAGGAAATCCTGCAGAAAAATGTAAAAGACCAATTATTATTTAATGCTTCCTGTGGATTCCAGCTGTTTTATTGTGAAACCAACTACAATTTTCCAAAATTTCTTTAAATAACTTTCAGGTAAAAGGGACCTGCAGCTGGGGAGACATAAGTTTGACTTTTTAAACTGTTGATCATCAAAAGAGAAGTCAAAATTATCAGTGGTATTAAAAGATAGCAGCCCTATCATTTATAACAAGCTCTAAAAAACAAAAGCTGCTTTTAATTAAACCAAAACTATCACAAAACCCCGTTTATAGGGTTTAATACCGAGTCCCTTTCCTTTTTTCTATTTTTTAAAATCAGATTAAAAGCAGGAAAACGAACAAAAGCTAGATAATGAAGATGGCTTCAACTATAAAGGCCTGGAAGATAAAAATAGTCCATCTGTAGAATCAGTTCAGACTAAAAAACTGGCCCCGCTACATAAGAGCTGTAACAGATATTAATTAGAACAAATAAAACGCTGAAAGCTTCATTAAAGTGTAGAGGAAGCTAGAGTCTGAGGAAGCTAACCGATGTTAGCATACCTGTGTACACTGGCCCTGAGAACCGGTTCTTCCGAGGACCTTTGTGACCTAAAAAAAACAAAAACACAAGAGATAAACCCAAAAGAACATTATTTTCATGTTTAAGTTACAAAAAAAGCAAAACACAGCATGTGAAGAGGCTGGAAGCAGGCCGACAGCTCACTGCAGCTCGGACAGGGCCTCCATGATGGACGCGCGAGACCAGCACACATTATTTCAGTTTAACTCATAAAAATGCGGCTCGCTTTGATATACTGATACCACCCGAAACAACAAGAGTTTAAATAAAAAATAACGTCAGAAAAACTGATTTCTATGACGGTTGGAGGGTTTTTCTTACTCTCGCAAGCTTGATCGGCTGCACGCGGCTGGCGTCCATGTTGGCAGGTTAGACCAGAAAGGAAGTCACGTGGTGCGAGGAGCGTTTATATGGATGCTGGAAAATGAACTGCATGTTTTTTTTTTATTATCATTAAATTTAAATATATAGTTCTATTAAACAGTAAA